ACAAACACACACACACACACAACAAGTGCACATATATCTTAAGCACATCTGAAACAACTAATAGTGGCTCAGTTGGTAAGTTCTCTGGTTGGTTGTAGAAGAGACTAGGGATCAAATCCCGTTGTGCAGGGGCTACCCTATATTGTGTAGCCCCATGAAGGAAAAAAGAAAAATCACGGTGCTTGCAGGAAATGAGGCTATTGAACTACATAATTCATTGTAGTAATTTGCATACCTCTTCTTGATGATTCTCATTCAGCTCCAATTGTTGCTCCAAATTAGCCTGTGTCTCAACTACTTTTGCTATTTCAATCTGATATAAAAATATGAACATTAAAATCATAACCTAGAGTATTGATAAAAAATTTAAGATAGGTCAGATAAAACGTGTAAGTATCAAAAACATTGATAAAGGTAAAGTGGAAGTATAGAACTATCAAGTGTTGCGACTTGTGAGCAAGAAAGAGGCTTTTAACGGGATTAGTAAAATGATCTAGAGATTTGTGGATGAGAGGAAAATAGTGATGTGTTGAAGCAAAGAAAGGAAAACAAGGAAATAGAGCATGAAAAAATCATTGGCTGATCTTTATATTTAGCCCCCCTTTACACCCAAATTTTGGTCCTCACATAGCCCACATGGCAAGTATTAAATGGATAGCCCCCAATACAATCATCTTGTTTAACCATTCCCTTGCAAAGGCATCTGCCAGGTAAGCTTACCTTGGATCCACTTGATCTGTACACGCAATGACACAAAGCCAAATAGCCTCTATGATATGGTGGATGGGCAGAGGACCTTCCCTGCACTCTCACATCCATCTAATTACCACCTGAGGTCTCCCTCCATCTCTAAAGATGTCCAATCCACTGTAGCTGCTAATCTGAGCCGAGTGTTATTAGTTCAGCCCTTTGATCTTGCTTTCTTGCTCATGGAGATTGACAGTCAGTTTAAATATAAATCATATATCATGTTCTTTTCTCCCTTGTAAAGCTTAGGGTGAATAAGAAGTCGTGCCTGGTCACTTTTTGGAGTGACATTCTTTGAACAATATAAATGGTAAGTAGGGCTAGGAATGCATAGATTCAGATCCAACCCAATTTTATATTGAACCCAGGGTTGCTTCAAGATACAAACATACAGATTATGTTACCTAGATATGGCAAGGAAACGGCTCGATATGGTATCAGATATGTAAATTTACACTAAAAATTGAAGTATCCAATATGATATGGCATCTTTGTACAGGTATCTGGGTATCACAGCATACAGGCACATGCATCTAGGGAGATGTTGGATTATCCAACTACAACTTTTCCATCAATCCGGTTAGAATTCATTGAAAAAAGTCAGGATAGAATAGATTTTGAAATGGACAAACAATTGTGAAATTATCCAATTACACCCCTTCTATCAATTAACCCATAGTTTGTGATGCATTAACACAGTGGAATGGACATAGAAATTGAGCCTTGACCAAGAAAACACAGGATCCAAGATGCCAAGCAACTACAACATGCACAAAAACAAATAACAAAATATACTAGATGAAGCCATTTGATAATCTGCAAAAAAATTAAACGGATAAAAAATAAACAAGTAGATCATAGAAGGCAAGAAGTAATAGAGGGTTGACAGAAAGTTTATAACCAACCACAAGAAAAGAACCAGGAAGTCTAAAAAAAATGCCAAGAGTAGCAAACTGTAATGAACGACAGACCACCAATGTCCTTTTCAAAGAAAAAAACACAATCCAGGTACATGTTCTCAAGGTTTAAAGTATCGATACACCTGATATGCAAGAACAGGCATATTGAGTGCTTTGATACAACAAAACATCCTTCCTTTAGTTTTTTTTTTTTTTTTCAAAATTGGTCAGGGGGTTCAGTCTTAGGCCTGCCTACCCCCACGAAAATACCAAAATTCCCAAATTCCCTTTTATGTCCTGTATCAGAGCCCCATAGATATGATACAATACACCCAATATATGGGGCATATTGTATCGAAATTTTGAACCTTGCATATTCTTCTGCAAAAGTACAGTTTCCCTACAATCATTATCTGCTTCCAGCAAGGTACAAAGTGGTTGTCAAACATGACTTTCAAAACAATCAAAGCAAGAAATATCTTTAAGCTCACTAAGTACAAAATAGAAGGATATACCTCGCCAACAGTTTTTCCAGTGGTCTCAGACGGTAATTTTGGTGCAGGAGATACTGTTGCACTGACAGTTGAACACGTGGTTCTACAGACAAGAAAAAGAAAACAAAATGGAAGACATTAAGTCCATAATTATGAACCGTACTACACATTTTACAGGATAGGATGGGAAATCTTCATTAGATTTTAAAACTAATTTGTTTTTTTTTTTGTAATAAGACTAATTTGTTTTTTTTTTTTTTTTGTAATAAGACTAATTTGTTTTATGGCTTTTATAATGAACATGAAATGAAACTTAAAAGATTAAATTAACAATCAAGAGAATAAAGAGAGCTTACGAAGATGTTACAGATACCAGATTATAACCTAGAAATGGAAATTATACTACTGGGACATTTCAGGACAGAAAAATCCTCATCATATTTTAAACACAAGATTGTTTTTTGATCTGAAGGTCATGAGAAATGTAAAATACCATACAAACAAATAAAATTGAATTTGCAGCATAAAATTACCCAATGTTGATCCTAACTATCTGGGGTATTGGACTGGATATGGACCTAACCAGCTAACCTTTGGCATTTTGTAGCACAAGGTGGCCACTCTCAGACTAGAACTAATGTTCACATGCTTGTCAGCCTGAGATTTTACCATAAACCAAGCAATGGACCCTAGGACGACAAAAAAAGGCACCCCAGTGCATGAGGCTCCTTAGGAAGATACCATAACTAAAATATAACTAAACTGTCAATAGCTGCCAAAATCTAAAATTCATACTAAGGGGGTCAAGTAATGGCTGAACTGAATGGCTTGTTGCTTCACCTTTTAGTGAATGATCCATTAAGTAGGTAGTAAGTTCCTTAATGGCTGAAAGACCCTGACATGCCATTCAGCCACTAAGGAGCGCACTCCCTACTTAATAAATATCTGCTAGACAACAAAGAAGTAAACAATTCAGTTCAGCTAATTCAGCCATTATCAAAAGGCCCCTAAGATATTATTAACACATAATTTGCAGTATCAAATTGTGAATATAAGAGCATTTTTGCTTAGTAGGATACCTAAGGGCCCGTTTGGCGTGTCTTTTCGTGCGGTCTTTTGGCTTTTTACAAGCCGGGAAGACCAATTTTCGGTCTATTCCCATTTGGCTCACAGAAGATCTATCCGCCAAAAGACGGTGTGCCAAAAAGATGCAAGAAGCCCATTTTGGGCTGATTTCGGGAAGCTTCATCCCGCGTCTTTCGCATTTTAATCTCGTGTGGAAAGACGCGGGCAGACACACGGAAAGACGCACATCTGCCAAACTGCCTCCGTCTGCCCAGATCTTATGTCAAAAGCTTAATGCGTCTTTTGACTGTCAGAGCTACAAGAAGATCTTCTCAAAAAAACATGCCAAACGGGCCCTAAGAAATCATCAGGAGGCTTGGGGATTTTGATCGCATTGGAGAGAAAATACTTATATCACAACCAAGGAAAGGTGCACCGACCCACTACTGGTAGTTATAGCAATAGTAGATGATGTCTGAGCTGCACCACTACTGGGACCACAAAAACTGAATTTTGGTGCTGAGTCAGTTGATGCAGCTGTAGAACTTGAAGCTGCAATACCTATAAAAAGAAGTTCCATGGTTACAATAAAATGAGATATACATGAAAGAAACATCTATTAGCCAGTACCTACCAGAGAAAGAGGAGGACCAAACATTGGTGGAATAAACCACTATAAACAGATGAACAGAGGAAGAGAAAGAGTCAGGAGGGAGGGGGAGGGGAAGGGGTTATAGAACTAAGATTAAACTAATCTAAACAAGTTAATCTGAATGGGTGTCATTGAGATCCTAGAAAAGCCATAAATTGATTAATTAAAAATAAAAGATGGGATATAGTCTTCATTGCATAAACAGAGATGGCAATAACTAAAGGTTAATCAGATAGTCCTGCACAACTACTAACAAAAAAATGTATAGACTATTGGGATTGGTTGGGTCAGATTTGATAAAGCATGACTTTCCTAGGTTTGGTTTCAGCTACATTACATGGTCCATTTGGGAAGAGTGCAAACCCCAGTTCAATACATATATGCATTCTGGTTCAATTTTAAAGACATTTGGTAAGAATACATTTGTGTACTAAAATTGACAGCTATAAAAAACTCCAAGGCATGTCTGTATTCAAAATGAGAGCAAAGTTTGCATCCAAAAATGGTGGATACAAACTTTGCACTCAAAGTTGGTCAATGTAAAAAAGATGGATTTCAGTCTTGAAATTCGTATTTATACCTGTGACAACCAAAAACTGTTTGGTAAGAAAACAAAATTTATCATTGCAAAACTAAACCAACTTTTAATTTTCATGGATTTCAGCCTTTGCATTCTGGTGTAGGGATTCATTTGTTCGATTAGTACAGCACCAACATCTGCTCGCCAGGTTGATACCTTTGGATTGAATTCTGTCATCAGTAGGTAAGGCACGGTTTATGAGCTTCCAAGCAAAGACAGCAATCTTGTTTGGGACCAGTACGTGTTTGGCCCAGAATTTCTCCCCAGCCTCATCCCTTATCATATCCCAACAGCTTTTGATGGAGAAACGACCATTATTTGAAAGTTTCCAKATGATCATGTCTTTACTTTTGTATTAGGAGACGTGTAGAAACCACTTTGATGAATAGAATAGAGAATATTGGGAGGGAGCAGGTTCTCCATAGTTTAGGTTCCAATCTCCTTCTGAGTTGAGGACGTCCTYTTTCATTAACCTATGATTAGGTCTATCAATAAACAAATAATCTATCAATGAATGCGCATATTGATCAACCTTTGCCATGTCCACAACATGAAAGTATGGTCTGTTTACTCCTTGTTTAGCTAGAGTATGTGCTAAATAGTTTCCTTTTCTTGGTATCGATTGAAACTGAACTCCCAATTCCCACAGCAGTTTCCTAATCTATCTCAAAGAAAGAGATCCTTAATTGAATTCAAAAATCAAGATAAGATAATAACTATAGTGTGCTTTGGTTGGGGGCGGGAGAGCAAAAATAGTGAAGTGTACCTACATAAAGATTGTTGGTAAGCTTACCAAATACCGGTGCAGCAGTTGTTGACTGGAGTTGCAACGATGATGTGGGAGCAGAGCTGGCAATTGTGGTCGTAGCTGCTGATGTTGACACTGCAGTTGCTAATGAAGCACTAGTTCCGAAATCAGGAAATGATGGCGAAGAAGCAGAAGAGACAGAAGCTTGTGAAGAGAAGAAAGCAGGGGCGAATGGCGCAGGATTTGCACTCACTGCTGGAGTTGAAGCACTGGTAGCTGTGACAGTTGATGAAACAGATTGTGCTGAAGAAGACCCAGAACGTAAAGAAAGAGGTTTTGCAGAAGAGCTAGCAGCGCCAGAAGAAGCACTGCCAAATCCAAACGAAGTTGGGAATGCAGATGACGATGGAGTTCCAAAAGACAATTTTGATGGAGAATAGGAAGACGATGAGGTAGAGGAAACGGTCGTAGAGATAGAACTCCCAGAGGTTTTAGAAAATGATGGGGCTGAAGAGGCTGAAAAAGATGAAGCCGAACTTGAACTCGAAGAAAACAAGCTAGGGGAAGAAGGACCGCATGCAGCTGAAGATGATGACGATGAAGATACAGAGGAAGCTCCAAACAATGAAGGGGTAGAGAAGGGCGGAGGTGCAGTGGCAGCAGAAGCTGAAACTGAAGAAGTTCCAAACGATTTTGAAGCAGAGACAGCAGAAGTGCTCAAAATACTGATCGTAGGGGCCCAAGATAAGGAATCTGCAGACAAAGTCGAACTAGAAGCGGCATGAGTGGTAGGAGAAGTGGTCGTAGAAGCAGAAGCTGAGGCAGCTCCAAAGAATGTCGAATCAGAGAAAGGAGCAGCAGTGGTAACAGAAGATCCGAATATTGACGGACCAGAGAACACCGCGGCGGAACTAGCCGAAGCCGTAGATGCCAAAGGCGTCCCAAACAGCGGAGAACCAGTACTTGCGGACGATGCTGAACCTGTAGAGAATGCGAACGAGAACGAGGGAGCAGAAGCCGAAGAAGCACCGCAACTAAGGATTGAAGTTGAGAAATTTGAACTTGATGGGGACGAAGACGACGAAGAGGACCAAGTGAAACCACTTGGGAAGGAAGATTTCGGGGCCGAAGTGGTGGTACGTTTTGCCGAGGTGGCGAAACCAAACGACGACGTTCTGAATGAGAAACAACCAGTAGGTAGAGTAACAGGGTCAACGGATGAGGAGAATGGAGAGGAAGAAGTTGATGAAGACAAGGGTGACGATGACGAAAAAGAAGAAACGTTGAAGACCGGCATGTTTTCCCTTCTTGTCACGCTCTCGGTTCTCCTCCGATCGGGGATTTTGGGAGGGGTTTTTATCCCTTCCTTTTCGCCGCTGGAAAGTGGAAAGCCGGAAACGCTTGAAATGTCGTAACCACTACTTTCCCCGTTGCTGATCATTTTCCGGCCAGGCACGGCCCGTGAGCCCGTCCCGGAAATTTTCGAGTTTGGGCGCAGGTTTTATCTCTAGACCCGGCCCAAAAATTCAGGGCCAGGCTTGGCTTGAATACTTAGAAGCCCGGTTGCGGGCCTGGTCCAGCCAACAAGATACTGTTACGGACTTATGTAGCACGCGATGTCAGTTGAATTAACTTCCTTCATCCTTGTATTAAGAGTATAAATATACAATATAAATACATACAAAGTAATATAAAATCGGAAAACTTTCCAATAGGTATCTTTAAAATGCGCGACAATATAGTACCGAACCTTCATTTTATAACAATCTAGCATCTGTACTATGGAAAAAGACACAAATGTTCTTAAATTTCGTCTAATTTTTATTATTCACCGCCACTGTTCATCGTTCCCTTAGTTGAATAGCGGCGGCACTCCTCTTCTCCTAACAATATTCCTCAGATTCCTTCATCCCTCATCGTTTTCCTACTTTCTTCCATCGAGCAAGAATCTAAAACCCTATTTTAATTTGCTAAATCAAAACCGAATTCACTGATCACCTTCTTTGATTCGACACAGCGGCGGTTGCGGCTAACACTCGATCAACTCGCAACGGTGAAATCCAACTACTTTTTTTAGCTACATTCTAGTGGCTCCTAATCATTTATTGGGGGTAAATCTTCATACAAAATGCTTCATCGGTCTCCCCCATTATCCTTGACTCCTCAAATACATCGAAAGCCATTATCTAAAGACAAAAAATCAAAACAGAGCTAATAGAATCGCCTCTTGCCGCATCGTCTCAGTTCAGGTTAAGACATAACTCAGATGCATTTTAATTCAACCTGCTGAAAATGGTGCACCAAAGACCAACCGCAGACCGAGCTAATGAAGCAAGCAACCATCGGAAGGGCTTAAATGCAGTAAGTGGTGGCCAGCACGTACTGTTCATTAGACGGACGGTCTTAAACTCGTGATCTTCATCGTCGGTCTACTGCAAAATCAATCCATAGCTTTGTTTTCTATGAAAAGAAACAAAACGACTTGCATCAACACCGGGGAGGACTAAACTATCATCAAAGACACCTAATTAATTATTGATGATTGTCTTAAACAGGGGAATAGAAGCTTGCCTTTGCAATCTCTTTGCGAGGGTGGGAGAGGCTCTCGAAATTTTTGCACTGCTTCAATCTCGTCTCTCGGTACTTATCCCTCGTAAAGTTCATCCTCTCCCATGGAATTCCCTGAATATCCTTTCCACTTCGAGCCTCAAGAGCCGAAGTATCAGTCTTTGGCTTATTCTGAAACAAGATAAAAAACAGAGCCAAAGCCCAAATCAAATCAATTACTTTGTCTCTAAGGTCGAATAAATTTAGTAAAGAGCCAATTACAATCCTCTAAACACACCACATCAAAGTCGTCTTCAAAATCCGAATCTTCTCCATTTCTATTTTGCTGAGTTTCTTCAAAAGGATCATCCTCGAAATCAGTCAAGCCATAGTAATCATCAACAATGTATTCAAGCTCGTCGTTCTGGTACTGAGCCATTAGCCTATAATTTAAATAGACTTTAGTGAGCAATATTAGAATAACCTTTACGTGAACCGTTGAGTCCAAATGAAAGAGAAACAGGGAAAAAAACTAATGAGACGAAGAGAAAATAAGAAAAACAATAAGCGAAAAAATCAGCATTTCTCAAACACATAAGGTCAAGAAAGGAAAGAAGAAAAACAAAGACAAGGGAAAAGGCAAGCCTGTAAACAGAGGATTCAACCTGAATCGTAACAACATAACCAAAGCAGGAAAATGGGAAAAAAATCGAACAAAGAACTCCACGGCACCGCTTTCTCAAAATAAAAAAGCACCGACGAGAAAATAAGCAAGACCATAACTCAAACAACGAAAGGACGACCACTTGATTAGTAACTAGGTGAGTAACAGACAAAGAGTAATAGAGCAACAGAGACAAGGAAAGCAAGAGCGACCGACGATGAAGATCACGAGAACAACACACGCGTGTTGTCTATTAGATGGACGGTTTTAATCTCTTTATCCTCCTTTGGATTCATACATGAGGTCACATGAACAGTCTATTTTATTTCTAAGGGTAATTTTGATATTTTCAAAAGTCTTAAATGTCACATGAGATCACATGATATACATAATTGATGGTTCATTAACAGTAGGTTTTATATTGTCACAAAATGAAAAATTGGGTATTAGATTGTTGCATTTTAAGGTTTGGGTATTAAATTGGTACAGGATACCTATGGGAATTTTCCTTATAAAATATAAAGTTTTGAACTCTACATATCAGTATTGACACTCTTTTCAAACCGAGGCTAATGAATAAAGCAAGCAATGAAATCACAAATGCACACCAATTAGATAAAAGAACACTTTGTATTGCATTAATATAAAAAAAAAATTATATAAAATTCACTAGAACTTTTCATAATTTCTCTTAAACTCATTATTAACTTTTCAAAACCTCGAGAGAACCCTATATCATTGACTTTTTGTTTTCCAAAACTCACCATTTATTAAAGCTGCCCTATATCAATAGTGTTCATTGATGGAAGTTGTCCATATCATCATAAATGTAATTTTTATGACCAAGCTGCCCTTGAATGGCATGTCAGCCTTATTAAACATATTTTTATGTCAGCCTAATTTTTATATACATCTTTGTTCTAATTGACATATGATAGAAGTGGATGTTGGGTCCTATAAAGCCATGTGTCATCTTCTTGATCATAGATCTTTTCTTGATCTTGGTTCTTGTTGCATTTGAAATTAAAAGAGATAAAGTGATAGTTGTGTTGTGCAAGTAGATATGAAGCATATGATGAGTTTGATTTAAATCAAAAGCATTCTTTTTTTATTTTAGCTCCCTTTTTACTTTTTTTTTTTTGGTAATTAAAACTCCCTTTTTTACTTAAATATGTAAAAAGGGCAGAAGTTATTTTTAGACTGAAATATTGAAGATATACTTTTGTTATTTTTTATCAAAGTTTTGTTTTATCTACCAACATCCATTGGTCTATTTAACATCAACTTACTGACTTGAGGTTCCCTTGACATTTTGAAAAGTTATGGTGAATTTGAATGAAATGCTGAAAGGTGATGATGAGTTTTATACAATTTCCCATATATATATATATATATACTGATGTGTCAGAGGTTCTCACACTAACCAGTTGATTCAATTGGATTTTGATTTGGAGATTTTAAAAAACCAATAGTACTGATTCAGTTCAAAATATTAAATACCCCATGGTTCAATTAACTGGACCGTGAGCACCCCTTAATCTTGTATTGAGTACTCTTATTGAATGAAATTGATTTTGTTAACCCTATAAACAATAATAAAAACAACAATTATATTTTTGTGCAAACTAAATCAAAGCATTTGCTCTTACACTAATTTATATTGAGAATGAAACTTAGGTTGTATTTTGATCAATTTCAAATTTTCAAGTTTTGTGTTTTTAAAGACTTAAAATGCACAAAAGCCAAATTTAGGCTTTGTGCTTTGGGGCTTAAAAAGTGTTTGCCTTCTTAGTGTCCATAGCTTTATCAAAGAATTTCAACTTTGTCATCTTTCTTCTGTACGTCAAGAAGCCTAATTCCTTAGTGGTTAAGTTCTTCTTTCGTTAAATCGTTCTGCTGCCTCTGTGATTGATTGAAAGGCCCAACCCTCGAACCATAAAGATCAAAACATTGACCACAAGTGCCCTGATTACTGGCCCAAACCCATAAAATTGGCAGTTCTGATCTTACGAACGTTAAATATGTAATATATATTTTTTGTATTGAATCACTCGCCTTTACCGTATAGGGACAATATTTCAATTTTCTTTACATAGTACAATACTTTTTCTAACAACATTAATAACTCTTTTCAAAGGTGATGAGAACCAATCGTGGGGCTCCAAAACGCATCTCGCCTGAGACTATCCAGTCTATGTGCTAACCGAACCACCACTCAATTGGCGTTGAACAGGTAATAAATTATAGGGGCTCAAACCAGTTTAGGGATCTCTTACGTCTGCGTTAGAAGTTCATACTTGTATCAGCAGTTCAATACTGTCAATCAATCACTTGCATATGCCAAAATTGTTGTATACTTGTATTCAATTTGTTCATTGTCAAAATGAAGGATAAAATCCAAATGTTTTATCAGTTCATGTTGATTTTCGGTGCAAGTAATGTCACAGGTAGGCCTAGGACTGCCGCCGGCTGGCTCAAGGACCCAATATGTCCATTACAAGTACATGTAATGACAGTTGCAGATGTTTCTGAGTATAATGGATATGGAGCTCAGACTATCCTTGATATTGCCCAAAGTCCAAACCCTAACCTGATTTCTTGGTTCTGACAATTCGACGGAAGGATTTTTTCTAGATTGATTCTGAGAAATAACAGAAAAAAATAAAAACAACTTTGATAGTTTGATGGCAAGCATCAATATTCTGGGTTGAATTCAGAATACCGGATATCTTAGGTGGGGCAGACATGGCTTATGCTTCCAAACTTTGTGAACAGTGTGTTCCCTTCTGCCCATAAATTGAGAACAACCCAGCTTTTGTGTAGGAACAACATCACAAGGTCATTCTAACACTTAGGGTCCGTTTGCTTTGCAGTCACAATCTAAACCGAAATCAGAATTAGAATCCCTTGGAATCAAAATCAGAATGGTATATTCTCATACCCTATTTGGTTCAAATGGGAGTCGGAATTGAAATCAGATGGAATGGAATCTCATTCCAAGGGAGGGGAGGGAATGACCATTCCCTTAAATGGAGGAATGCCATTCCACCAGGAATGGGAATAAAATTCCAATTCTGCCGAATCAAACAGTTGGAATTGAAATGGGTGGATTCCAAACACCTATTCCCATAAGCCAAATGGGCCCAGTCTCAGCTTATCAGCTGCATACACAAACATGATGGTTGCTTGCAAAAAAAAAAGAAAAATTTATTTGTGCTGTTAATATTCATAGTTTCTTCTTGGAAACACGTAGTATTTTACATATGGAATTCATATTCTCATAATTTCTTAACACGAATGCATTGAAATTCTCACCCATTTCAACAGATTCAAGCTTAGATGGTGGCACAACCTAACCAGAAGAGCTATATGCTGACGGTTACACCTGCAACAGAAATTACAATTCTTAATTCAAACTTAGACGGTTAAATACCCTCTTAAAAAGTGTTTAAGTTTAAACATTGTAATGGGCTGAAAAGGTTGAAAAGACAGAAAACCAAACAATGATATTGATGAATGAGTTTACTCAAAAATACATTACACAGTATGAACCATGATGTACTGAGTACTGACACCTAAAGTGAAACAGAAAGGAAAATTTGCTATGGTCATTAGACCTCCGGATAAAAACAAGTTATTACAGAGTATGATGCAATGACAGTGAAACCTACAGTGAAACAGAAAAGGAAAAACTGCTATCAATCATTACTAATCCTATGGATGAAAATAAGTGTCAATCTTCTGAGTTCTGAACAGGCCTGACTATGCTTCAAAGTTCAAACTCAGAGATGAAGGATTCACAAAAAGCTAAGTAAACCAAGTTTATAGTTATAGACTTATAGTTATGGCAAACCACTGTCAGCTATAGAGAGATATAGCGAGTATAGAAAGTGATGATAACAGAATTTTCATTCCATAAATTGAATTATATATACAGACTGGTTTTCCTTTACATACCTCAGAAATTTTGAGATAGATAAGAAGGAAGATATAAATAACGATCACCTTTCTCTGCATTCCTCCAGAAAACTCTTAACCTATTCGTTCATAGTTCCGAAAATATAGGCATGGTTCAACTTGGACAAAATAATAAAAAAACCAATCTTACTAAGAGAATAAATCAATGATGTCAACTGTGGCACAGTTTAAATTCCCTCCTGAACCAAGAAGAGTTGGCATACTTAAAATAAAGGCCATTACCCAATGTTGGTCCCAGCTATCTGGGATCTTTGGAGGGGTATATTGGATACAGTCCCAACCTTTGGCATTTTTTATACAAAGTGGCCACTCTCGGACTTGAACCCACGTTCTCATGCTTGCCAGCCCGAGATTTTACCACTACACCAAGTTGGCATACTTAAAAACATTTGAGCCAATTAGTGAGTTTGAACAATGATGAATATTTTCTTTTTGGTGGATTAGCAGGATTCAACCTGCATCAAGGTTTCAGTATTAATTACAACTAGAAAATCCAAAAGAAGTTACATTTGCAGATTCAGTATCACTGAATCGTGAGGCAGAACACCAAAATACCATCCTTATCAATGAAATAATTAAAATCTGTTATAACAATATGATAATAGAACATCACAACTAGTAGAGGAACTATGAAACTAAAAAAACTGACAGAAACTGCTCCAGCATAATATATCTTTTCATAATATTTCCATACAAAACATTCTGCCACTTTGGCTTCTCATTCACGATTTTTTATCTGACATCATGCTGCTGTAAAACCTTCTGATGAAGTATATACACTCCAACTACAACAGCTTTGCTACTTTTATAGAAAATTTGTAAAAATTCTTAATGGAAATCCAAATGGACAGTATACAATCTTATGTCAAGCAACCCCCTTTCATCATTTTCATGTTCTCTGAGAACTTATTATGTTGGTAAAGTTAGTGGTTGTTACCAGAGACTTCTATCCAAAATTCAATTTTCCCATGTTGTGACAATGATAATAATCTTGCAACTAATGATACTAATAAGCAGGTCCTATAGTTTCTAATTCATTCCTTAAATGATTAAATCCAATTACAAATACATAATTAGCATAAAGCTAATTCTAATGTCAAGGGTTTGGCTGTCACAATGCCCTTGAATCACAAAAGGAGATATATTGTCAAACCATGCAACTCTCTGTTTTAGCACGAATAATGGTGTTCACATTTTATCATCACAGAGAAGGACCATGATAGCATAGATTTCTTAGCATAATATAATCACCACCCAGTAATATATGTCGATGCATACATGCAGATGATATAAAAGAAAAAGTTCTTGCACGTATTGAATGATAACACGTTATAAAAATAACAGAACAGCATCCGTAGTTCTTCAGTATGTCGGGACACACAGAGCTTCAAAATTCTAATTGCCTAGGCAACAAGCCGAAAACCTAGGTTATTGACATCAGATCCCAATTGGAATATTCACCAAAAAGGAACTAGAGAGAATTTTGGTCTTGTTGCCTTGTCATTATAACCTGTAGAGACCTCAATCTCCTATCTTTTAGTATACAACAGCTTGGCACTTGACAGCTCTTCTATGCAGGGTGGTTAAGGTGGGTAGCTGCACCAACTCATTTGTCCACTAGAGGGAAGCATGAAGTATATATAGGTGCTTAGTTGACTTAAAAAGAATAGTTTTTCTTAATAATTTACAAAAACAGTGTGAGTTAGTTGGCCTCTTACATCAACCAAGAGGCCGTTTCTCAGCTGATGAAAGTTAGAAACTTTTTTATAACATGTACTTGAATATTTTAAGAAAAAAAAAAGCAAAAAATAAAAATAAAACATTTTTTCAGGGAGCAGATGTCTTCACTTGTTCAACGTTTCCATGCTAGCAAAGTAAGTCACCATGCTGATTTCCTATAGATTTTCCCAAGAATTATGATCAAGATTCTCAACACCCAGAACATTTTGCATTATGGTTTAAGTCAAATAGGGTTTGAATTATTAATTTGGGAAATCCAGGAGATGCAGATTAAAAAGCATCAAAATGGCAATGAAGGCAAAGGATAAATCACTGATCACACTGGTGAAGAGAACCATGGTGATTCAGGTTTCATGTTTCTAATAGGATGGAATAAATGAAAGTAATAGGAATCCCTGTGATTTCTTAGTTTCACTATTGAAGAGTAAATGCATCTAATTTTGAGCTAACTCTGCTTTCATCCAACACATACAACAAGAGGTGCATCTATTTTAGACTTCATCACTGGGATTTTCACCTTCAAGTCTAAGGCATTCTCTCATTGGAGAAGAGAGAAATAACCTTCAGATCAAATTTATGTTACCCAGACACCCGAAACCTTTAAATTCCGGCAAATGTCCACCACATCACCTGCCATTCCTCACAGAATCTCAGAACAGTTCCCGAAATCAAACCCAGAATGTAAAATCAGTACTTTTTAAACTTGAATTCCCAATTTCTAGCAAAAATGGTCTTTATTTTTTACCGTAAGCATTTAAAGGCAATAACTGAGAATCAAGAACGTACACAGCAAACAGAGAAAAGCAAGCAGATGTAAATGCTGAGATCGTAAATAATAGAACGGTAGATTATATGTTACCTCTGAAATCAAAGAAGACAGATATTTTCTCCCTTGACACGCTTTGCTCTTACATTCTGGAATGGTCTCAAACTGCTTAGCCGGCAACTTTTCCGAGAGAGCCCCAACATAAAATGTAATCATATCCGAGGCTTCATCAGCTTGAATTCCGGTGACAGACACCCACAAGAAGAGCTTCTTTGCTTGAATCCCCGACACGTCCCGAACTTTTCCGTAGCTAAGTTTTCCGGTGATCTTCTTATCGTACCAGACGAGCTCGTCGAAGTGAACGTAACACGGGTGTTGAAGCTCAACATGGAAGTCCCCGTTTTCAGATAGCAAGTATGACTTGACGGCGTTGGGGAGAAGACCCTTTGGGAGGCCGAACGCAGGGAGGAGGTCGTGAACGCCGGTGACGGGCGGCTCCACCGTGTAAATTTCCTGAACTTCCACTACATCATCGTCTGGAGTGGCGATTGTAAGACGGGTTGCTGTGGAACACAGGAGAGAGAAAAAACACAGAATGGTTGCAGAGACGAGCTTCGCCATTGACGGTTGTTTGGAGAGAGAAAATCTGCGGAAGGGAGAAGGAAGAACCGAAGAAGGCGACGACCGACTACTCTAGAGTTCAATACTCCTGACGTAAAGAAAAAGACTCGGCACGTGGAGAAATCAGCTACTCCATCTTGGAGCGGAGTAGGCGAGCAGCGCTGGGTTAAAACCGTGAAATCACGACATTTGGTGCATAGTTTATTTTCATTTTTCTCATTAAGATTTTTTGGAGAATTGATGTCAGAAGCTTAAGATACTCTTTGAGGAGGGGTGGTCGACCTCTTTGCGTGCCTAACCTTGGCACTCCTAAACCATCATCCCTTGCGGGGCGGTCTTGGTTAATGGCTAACATGGCTACCAAGGTTCCTCATGGGTGCACACATGCTCATGGGGACAGTGCATGGATCGGCATTGCACTACCAACACTCAAAGGAGGCTTGGCATGCAGGCCTGGCTCAAGTATGACCCTTCACCACGCCAGTCCCTTGCCTAAGCTGAATGAGCTATCCCGTTGCCAATAGCACACGGGTGTGTTCCGGCTCAACGGTTGCCTATCATCATTGGCATACAGGTGCCATCATCATCGATATACAGGAGTCCCTTCACATTGGCACCAAGTTGCCTCTCATCATGGCCTTCCCCTTTTAGCACGTAAAAGGCGCCTCCCAGGACCGACAAGAGCCAGCCAAGAGCCCCGGTCATATGACTTGAGGTCATGATCTAGTGCTACTAACCTTGGTGGAGCCATCTCATTGGGAAACTCCTAACCTCGCATCACAAAAAGGCTTGTCCTGGCCTGTCTTCGCCTGGACGCCGCACGAGTTTCTTCCGCTATAGAACTACCCCCGTGATAGTTGGTATCAGAGCGAGCTAGCTAACTGCTGCCGCAGTTGGTATCAAAGCAGATTAGCACAGAGCCAGTTGTAGTGGTCATCTCGACAAGCAACACATTGTGGGGTGCAGTCCCTAGGCACTTCCACTCGGGCACAAGCAAGCATCTTCATATCAGGTCTGGCAGGAGGCCATTCATCATGTCCCCATTCCAATGACCCCAAAATAGTGCCCTTGCGGGGGCAGACGCGTTGGTTGTTGTACTCATGCGGGGGCAGACGCATGAGCCTTTTCATGGAAGGCATATTGTGGTGGTTTGAGTGGGGGAGTGTCATGCTTCCTCACGGACATCAGTTCCTGTTCATTTTGGTGAGGTGTTGGGCGGTGCACCTACATCTTGGTTTCATGACGGATGAGCCATTGTTCCGTAGCTTTGTCTGAGGCACTACTACGGCGGGGACAACAGTCTGAAATTGGTTGGTATCGATGGTTGGTCAAGGAATATCACTGAAGTGGCAGTTTTGCATCAAATGGGTCATTAGTTGAAGCCACAATATTGGAATGATAGGAGTGTGGGTACACTGGCCGTTGGAGCATGGCAGCCCTACACCGGTAATGCATCGGAGGACATGCTCAGCTCAACAACAAGGTGGAACATTCGCAGCAGACAACACACATCACAAGGCGAATGCATGTTCGACAACATCATGGGTAAAAGTTGCCACACTCGCGCACATTGCGGTCAGATCTCCTTGAGGCAGCAACACATTGGGGCCCCCTCAGAGCGAAGATGTAGCTCGAACCGGCGAGGTGAAGTATAGTTTTGAGGGCCAACAGAGCATAAGCCATGATTAGGTTTGAGTAACCCGCACATGGTGAGGTGAAGTCCGCAGGCCAGCATGGTGAAAGGGTACACCCAGGACACACGCCAACAGCAGGAGTAGACCTACCACATCGTGTTCGATAGCACCACTGAAAAGCTACCAAGAAGACAGTCGAGCCTTGAGGTAAAGATGATACATGGGGCAAACCTCCGCGAAGCATACACATCCAATTTCTTCGAGGGCCCTTCTTTCACACTTTCAATGGCATAGCCATTGCGCGGTTTGAATAACCTCAACATAGGGGGTGAAGTCCAGACAGGCCGGCATGGTGAAATGGTTAAGTCCCCATAAATGGACACCAATATAGGCAAGACCCGGGTTGGCCAGGCGAGCCCAGGAACTGGTGTAGAAGTGGATGGCGTGGGACACAGACGCCCATTCACAGAAGGACCATTGTCGAGGATGATAATGGATCGGGTGGGGGAGCCTGTCACGGTCTGACACAGGCTTAGCCTTGCCTACGCTTGGCAGGATTACGTTAAGGGACACCATCGTCATTTTTGCCTGTAAAATTTTTGGGAGAATTGATGTTATCTTCAGGAAGACCACCAAAAGCTTAATGTACCCTTTGAGGAGGGGTCGATCTCCTTAGGTGCCTAACCTTGGCACTCCTAGACCATCATCCCTTGTGGGGCGGCCCTGGTTAATGGCTAGCATGGCTACCAGGGTTCCTCATGGGCGCACACATGCTCATGGGAACAGTGCATGGACCGGCACTGCGCTGCTGACACTCAAGGGAGGCTTGGCATGCGGGCTTGACTCAAGTGTGACCCTTCACCATGTCAGCCCCTTGCCTAAGCTGAATGAGCTATCCCGTTGCCCATAGCGCACGGGTGTGTTCCGGCCTAGCGGTTGCCTATCATCATTGGCACACAGGTGCCATTATCATCGGCATACAGGAGTCCCTTCACATCGGCGCCAAGTCGCCTCTCATCATGGCCTTCCCCCTTTAACACGTAAGAGGCGCCTCCCATGGATCGGTAAGAGCCAGCCGAGAGCCCTGACCATCTGACTTGAGGTTATGATTCAGTACTACTAACCTTAGTGGAGCCATTTCATCGGGCAACTCCTAACCTCGCATCACATAAAAGCTTGTCCTAACCTGTCTTGGCCTAAACGCCGCACGGGTTTTGTAGAACCACCACCGTGACAGTGGGGCGTTATTGTTATTGGTAACAGTCCCCGAGACATAGCAATATTGAAGTGTAACTCATCGGATTTATTTAAATGACAAATAGATACGCTATATTCAAGAGATGGTAACAATTTACCCCCAAACCCTCTTATTTTTCGATTTCTACACTTTKCCCCCTGACACGATAATAGAGTGAAAGCAAAATTACTAAATTGTCTACTTCGACATTTGTTTTGGCACAAAGATAGAAAACTTTATATTAAATATGCTGTTAAACTTACAAGCATTATAAGGTATTAGATGAACAATATATATTATATTTACGAAATCAAATGATTTAAACAGTTCCAGAGTGGAAAGGGGAAAATTCTATATTAATACCCTGCAATATTGGGATAATTTTAATTTAGTATTCAAACTTCAAAGTGCTGACCTTTCAATACCTAAAATCAATTTAGGATGGACCATCTATTCTGTCTACCTTATTAAACATTAAAAGCTTATTTTATGGAATTTATGTTAAGGTGTCGTTTGATTGCAATTTTTAGATGCTTGAATCTTAAAAGTTGCTTTTGAGATACCTTGCTTTGTTTGTTATTACCTCTTATTATATATCTGAAATTAGATTTCAGATCTTAATTTCTTAAAAGTGGAGAAGCTGCTTATTAAAGGGGGAGTAGGGCCGTAAATATTTGCTTAGGAGATTGTTTGTGCTTTATGCACCAACATTAAAACTCATATGTCTGCTTGTCATTTCAATTTCAACCAGCCTCTCGTAGTTTATTAGTTAATCCGTATTTATTAGAACTATTACCATAATACTTTTTACGGAGGAGAGAAGAAATTGCCAATTGCTAATAAAATAATAATTTGGGTAAAACTTTTTAGGTTACAAGCTTGTGAGAAAAAGCATAAAGGCTAATAAAGCTTCTCTTTGATTATTGTGAGGCCTAAGGTTGCCACATATCAATGGTACATTGAAGTTGTATTTGGTTTGAAGGAAAAAGTAGGGAAAGGTACGGAAGCCTATACAACTTTATACCTTTTCCTTCAAACCATAGCCTAAATGTTCCTAATTAATTTAGAATATGAAAAGTCTTTGGAAGAAACATTTGCTATGTTTGAATTTACTTAGAAAAAAAGAAAATTTCAAAAAAAAAAGTATAAAGAACAATGCTTAGACAATCTTGTTTTAATATATACTAGTGGGGACCAATGTGATGCACAGGAAAATCTGAAGGATTGAATAATTTTATTTCTATTAATTAATTGATAAATTAATAATTAAAATTTGTTGTTAATTAATTAAAATTATTCAAAGTTATTGTTTAATATTTAAAATTTTAATAATTGTATTTTTCATTTAATGTTGATTTATAGAAAACCATTCTTGTTAATGTAACATAAACAAATATTTTTAATAAATTTAATTTCATTAATCATTTGTAGTAATTTTAATAACTGTTATTATTTTTGTTATTTTTAAATGAAAATTGATTGAATTTAAATAAATAAAAATATTTATAAAAGCTAACATTTTTATTAATTTCACTAATAATTAACAATTATATAGGAATGGCAACAGGGCGGTTTTGGTGTGGAGCACCCCATCCCTGTCCTTGCCCAGTAGTCAAGACACTCTACCCCATCCCTACCTCGTCCCTAGTGTTAGGTGGGTTCAAGGCAAGACATCAGCTCTTCGTTAGGGACGGGGAATCCTTGAATTTCCTTGCCTCGACCTCAATATCGGGCGAGTTCAAGGCAAAGCACCCACTCCTCATCAAGATGGGAATACTCGAATTTCCCCCACCCTGTCCCAAGTATCGGGTAGGTTCAAAGCAAAGCATCCACTCCTCGTCAACCCAATATTCAATTTGATTACAAAAATGATCAAAATGATATACTGAATAACAGTCACATGGTAAATTTCTAAAGTGTCTTCAATTTTCAAAAATGTATTTTCATGAAAATTTTGGAAAAATTATTGCATTTATCTTAATTTATCTTAATAATTTGTGTAATTATTAGTTCAAACGACAGTTTTCCTTTTCCCATACTCATTTATATTTATTAATTTTCAATAATTTACAATGAAAATTATATCATTTTTCAATATTTTTCCAAAATCTATCAAATGTAATAAATTTTCCTAAAATTTCCAAAATATTCCAATAATTTTTTAATAATTATTTAATACATTTTAAATAAACTTTCAAAAATTCTTAATCTTTTAATTTCCAAAATGTTATTTTACGAAAATGTAGTGTTATGAAAATTTTAAAAAAATCTATTACATTTGTCTAATTATAGAGATTGATTAGTAATTATTTTAAATTGTTATCAAATATTTATTTTTATTAGGTAATTACTAACAAAATTACATTAATTTATCTTTTATTTTCCAATATAAATTAATTAATAATTTCATTTTCCAACATTATAATATTTTATTCCCCCATCTGCATTTAGTTATTAACTATAATAATAGCAATAACTAAAATTTTATACTTTTTGATAATTGTTGAATATAATTTTCAATTTTATGGAAATTAGTTAGAGTTTTCAATTTCTATAAAATGTTGTTAATTAACATGAATATAGCAATATTTACCCAAAATACTTTAAAAAGTCATGATGAGCTAATTAATTACAATATTTAATAATTTTGGTAATTTACTAACCGTACTAATAAGAATATTTAATTTTTTGTAATTAAATAACCGTATTTATTAACTTTTAGTAATAACACTATTTAATATTCATTGAATATGAATTGGATTAAATATTAACCGTATTTAACTATTTATTAATTAATATGGATATTTTAAATGAGAGAGAATGGATATAGATTGGGGGAGAGATTTTCGGAATTGATTGGGGAATGGGGTAACATGATACATTCCTAATGACTTAGAGGAGATACACATTAGGAGAGAGAGTCTAGGAATATTTTTAGCTAGTTGGGTTGGGAATGGTGACATAGTTTAATGGGAGTGGTGGAAAGAGGAGAGGAGAGATAGTTAAGGAGAATGCGGGATGAGGGTAATGAAGCAAGGAGAGACATGCAGATGTGGACCATAGATAGATTTTGAGACTTAATAGGATGAGGGAAGATGTTAGATTGGAGAGAGAGGATGATCCTATTGGTCAGAGTAATAATGGGTTTTATTAGAATCCATTAAGATGCAAGGGGCTTTTTATTAGAGACAATTAAGATATATATATAATTCGAAAACATGGTTTTAAAAAATGACCCAAAAATAGAACTGTTATGGCCACTGATTTCCGGGTCGACGATTCGACCATCCGATTCGAACAGACGGCCCATTCTAACAAAAATAAAATAAAATGACAAAAAATCGTTAAACAGATCAATAGGTCGTTGACTGATTCAATGAATTTTTGCCAAGGACTAGGTTTAAGGTAAAACAAAACCAATTGCTTAGACGGTTCCCAAACCGAAATCTGACTGTCCGAGTCAACAACGATTCAAAAACTATATTCGAATAACTAGCCACATGTGTGATAAATGAAAAGGGGTCAGCGTGAGCCTTGTAGTGAGAGTACCCCTTACCTCTCCTCTTGCCTCTTTTCTATTATAAATATAGATACAAAACAATAGGTGACTCAGTTCAGCTATTATTATCAAATGGGCTACTGATTTGAATGACATTTTGTTCCAAAAAATATTGAATATACATGCCCTTCAAACAAAAAATATACACACACTAATAACGAGCAACGTGTGCTATATGTTCTCCAACTCCAAACGAATTTGGCACATTTTAGACTTTTTAGTCGCTTAGCACTCTTTGCTAAATGGCTAGAAGAATCCCTTACCATTTACATAATACCAAGATGCTACATTTACTGGTGATGTTTGTCATCGATGCTGTTTTCTAAGAAAACGGCACTATATAAGCACCACATCAGAGAAATCAGTGCTTGAAACACCGCCTTCTTGTTTGGTACTGTTTTTCTAAAAAAACGCTGCTCCAAACCACGCCTTGGAAATTGAAAAAATATGGTCTAGAGCAACACTAAATTCAATATTTTTGAGAAAACAGCACGTTGCTACCAGCAGTGCAATGATGTTACATCATTTTAGACATTGAATAATATAGATCAATGTTGAAAATATTACTGCCGGCACTGGCACCAAATAAAATCAATATTGTTTTCTCAGAAAAACATTTATGTGCCAGCACCGATTCCAAACAAAAAATAAGAGATAACAGTGCTTACAACTCTACATGCCCAACACCATTTTTAAGAAAAAACAGCACCTACATTATAATCCAAAATCTATTAAACCAAAAACCATTTGCACCCTCTAAAGAATGTTAGAAGATTCATTTGCACTCGTGTAAACGTATCAGAAGTTAAGATTTGACTTTATCTTACATAGTTCAGTGGTTTTCGTGTCTACACGCAGAAAAGATGTAACGAACACGCTATATTTGGAGATCAGTATAAATTAGATTTAAATTTGTCCTAGGGAACTCTCTTGGTTTCTACCAGACCAAACCTACACATATTGAAAATGCAAGAACGAATTTTACATTCGCAAGCGTGTAGTGAGGGGCCATGATTTACCAGGTGTCCTACCAAAGAGGCTAACGTGCAGATGATAACATAGATCTATTATGCACGAAAAATCAACGACGTTGAGAGCAATTGCATTATTTTCTTGGCTCCAGGTGTGTCCATTGTTAACTAGGTCAGAGATCACGAAATGGTTATTAGTCTAGTCTTCTGAAACAACCACTAAACCAATATGTGGTAAGCTTCAAGCACTCCCCACCCCCAAATCAACAAGGTTGGAGAACAAACTTTAAGCCAGTAAAAGAATCTCAGACAAGACATACGTAGCATTCAGATGTTGCTATGCAAAAATTTATAGACTAGAAGATGTAATAGGTACACTTTATAAACCAATATGTGGTAAGCTTCAAGCACTCCCCACCCCCAAATCAACAAGGTTGGAGAACAAACTTTAAGCCAGTAAAAGAATCTCAGACAAGACATACGTAGCATTCAGATGTTGCTATGCAAAAATTTATAGACTAGAAGATGTAATAGGTACACTTTATAAACTCTTTCTAAATTCTGAGATCATTTCAAGAGGTACACCAACAGCTTTATGCTGCTACACAAGCTTGCTGGCTGGTGATTTCAATATATAAACTTGAATATTGAAACCACACTGAAGCCCTAATGGTTAACCATACTGTAGATACTGAAGGACGGAAACTGTAGCTATATACATATTATACTCGGTACTATTTGCTGGTAGGCCATCCGATGACTTATCAGATTCTTGACCCTAAACCAAAAAACAAGCACGAGAGAATGCTAGTAATTGGATTATATATATATATACCTACTTCTCCTGATAGTATGATGAATATTGATGATTTTGTTTCCACTACTCCGTGATTAACATTGGAACTTCATTAATAGGAGTTGGCACCTGCAAAATTACAATGTCATGAACCAAGTTAGCTCACAAAACATACCGCCGACTAATAATGAGAAGCAGAGACAAGGATGAAATGATCTTAATAATACGCACATGATTCTTTTTTTTTTTTTTTGATAATTGAATAATACCCACATGATTCCTAAAGCTACTTCAATACAGTGGGTCTGAATAACAAACAATTCTAAGTTTCTACATCTCAAAAAAAAAAGCCACAATATAAACAAACCTATTAAAAATAAATGACAGAGAATAGGAATGCAAGCAAATCTTCCCAAACACTACAACCACCAAATGGTTTCTCGTAAAGAATGCTATAGATTGGATGGTTATAATAATACAATCTGATCAAGTTTTTGTGCATCATTTATCCTATGCCCAAAACACATGGTCTACACTATTGGTGAGCTATGCTTGTAGTTCTCAGACAATTACACTAATCTTTCTCTCTCTCTCTCTTTCTCTCTGACAAATTCTACTTACTATGTCCAGTTTCTCTATCCCGGATTTTGAAATGTGTAATAGCTTCTTTTCTATATCTGCAATATGCAGGCATTGCAACTGCAGTTGTATATGGTCTCACCAAGACCTTCCAGCCTCTTCCAGATGATATTTTCTGCTATGGTACATCCATGAAATTCTGGGCTAGAAAATAGAGCTATTGTTTTTATTGCTTTTATACCAATATGTTTCATTGTTTTTTTTTTGGATAAATAACAGAATAGATTTCATTACAACACAAGAAGAGGTACAACAAGATGGGGGGAGATAAACTCTCTTAACTCCCCACCAAATGAAAAACAAAACAAATTACACAAGAGCCCAAAACAAAGCATCCCTATTTAGTATTTACCCCTTGCTTAGCTAACCTATCCGCAAAGGAATTTGCACTTCTTTTGACCCAATTCAGTTTGAGTTCAATATCCCTAGTCAACCATTTATATTTCCTCTTTTCATTGCTGTAATGTCAAAAGCCAGTTACCTCTTCCTTCAACCAGCCCATCACTAACTTACAATCTCCCTCTATAACGAGGGTGACTCTCTTCTCTAGTCCATCACTAACTTACAATCTCCCTCTATAACGAGTTTCCTAGTGTTCAACTCCTTGGCCCTTTGTACACCTTCCAAAGCCATCATAATCTCAGCCCGAATAGAGTCACCCTCACCTATTGGACTAGAGAAGAGAGCAATCACATTCCCATCCTCATTCCTTAAAGACTCCCCCAAACATGTACAGAAGAAACAGTAGGTGAAATAGAGCTAGATTACTTCCTTCAATTCCTTAACAAATCATCATTTGAGAAGTCATTAAACAGCTCCAAAGACTTAAGCCAATACACCACTTTGATTTGAATCAACTCCAAGATGGACTGTACCCCTCTTTCTTTACCAGCACAAATTCTCCAATTCCTTTCTTCCCAAATTGTCCAACACGCTGCAGCCCCTATACGTCTCCACATAATTCTCCCCCTTTTCATTTGCCACATGAAAAAAGAAGCAAACAGAATTTGCACATTCGGCGGGGGAGTCCAACTACAATCAACAAGGAAAAGATCCATTCCCAAATACAATTAGCAAAATGACAAGAAATTAGCAAGTGATGGTCAACCATTGTCCCATTAACCAACATAGAATAATGGCAATTTCTAACACACCCTAAGACCCACTTGTATGACCTATCTCCAAACTCGAAAGCTCATCAACACCTCAACCAAAAGACCAATCCACCAAGGCATAGGCTTTCTCTAGATCAAGTTTACAAACAACTCATTTTTTCCCCGATTTCTTAAAATCTTCTACAATTTCGTTGGTTATTAAGACTTGATCAGCATTCTGCCTTCCTTTCACAAAAGCTCATTGATTTGGTGCAGTGATCTTGTACAAACTATTCACCAAACTTATAGGTCTAAAGTCTCTAGGGTGAACAACATCTCTCTTTTTAGGGACCAAAGCAATAAAAGTGGAGTTCAATCCTAGATTAATTACCCCCTTCTCGTAAAATTCCTCAAAAACTAACATCAAATCCTCTGCTAGAACATCCCAACAATCTTGATAAAAAGACATTGTAAATCCATCCAATCCCAGAGCCTTTGATCTATCCATAGAAAACACTACCTCTTTAATTTCTTCCACATGAAACTTTCTTTCTAGCCAATACTTATCCTCCAATTCTAACCTTGACCACTCCAAACCCTCAACCAACAATCTATCATTTAGGGGCTTTTATAGATGGACCTGAAAGGATTCACAAAGGCCCCAACAATCTCACTTTGTTGGGTAATAGAAGAGCCCTCCACTTCCAACTTTGAAATAAAATTCTTACTTCTCCTACCATTTTCCACCGCATGGACAAATTTAGTATTCTTGTCTCCTTCCTTTAGCCACTTACACCTTGATTTTGTCTCCAACTTACCTCCTTTTATACAAGATATCCTCCATATTCTTCCTCAAGGTCCACCTAAGCTCTTTATCTCCTTCCTCCAAGGCCCCTCTACCCTCTTTGAAATCAATTTCCTAAATTCTATCAATTATAGATATCTCTCATTGTTTTATATGGCATTTATTGCACAATTGATGCTTACCTCAACACATGACTTTGAGGAAGGAAATCTAGGCAATGTATTAACCACTTATGCCTAGAAGTATGAGATGAGGAAGAAAGCCTCAACGCTTCACCTTGAAGGTGGATGCATCAAATTTGAGATGCATGCTAGATGCACAATACCAGTGAGGCTCACATGTCTGGCATGATCCTAATGCATAATTAGAAGCTTATAACCTTATGCATTTTGGAGGTGTTGGTATCTTACCTCTTACTTCATGCTTCTAATTGCAGGACAATAGAGGGCATATTCGATTTGATGAATGAGCATTTTCTAGAAGTGTACAATTATTATACCAATGCTAGTCATAATAAGTCTTTAGTTTAATGTGATCTTTTCTCATTTTTTGGAAAGAAAAACAAAATGTTGATTCAACATAATATGATATTGTTTCGAAATCAAAGGAACTTTTCAATCTATAGAAAGGATGGCTTTTATGGGAAAGAGTTGAACTTCTTGGTGCTTTTACTGCTATTGCATTAACAAGGGTGACCATGGCTTTGTTTAGTAGGGAGAACCCACAAAGAGAGGTTAGAATTGGATATAAATTAGTTTCTAATTGATATTGAGGAGACATTCATTCGTTTGCTTGGTATAAGACTGCTCAATTTACTTTTCGCTCCCTTTGATGGGATTGCAATTGGCAATATATGCCCCAAATATATTCATATTAAGTAATTCTCCTTAAGCTATTGGGTATGATCATATATCACCAAATCCATTTTCATAAATTTCTTTGCGTTTCCTATAAACAGAAAGCACAATAAGATAGTGTGTTTTGTACTCAGTTATTTAGGTGGAATCGGGATGCAGATAGACATTTTTTTTTTTACTTTCACAATATATGTTACGTGTATATGGTAAAGTGCAGAAATATGACAAGGATATCTTTCTAGAAAACGAGATATGACAAGGATACTAGTAGTAACCAATGGGCCTAAGAATTAGGATTCTTAAACTCAATCATTAAAAAATATATATTTTTAATTTTTAACTTCTCTTATTTTATATAAACAATACACTAATTGATGGAAAATAGCACAAATTAAATTTAGAAGCATAGATAGTATTTAAAAATTAAACAATTTAAAATTTATTATATTAAATTTATCAGGTACAATGAATAAACATTCGTTCTATTATTTTAGTGTAATAATCCAATATTTTGTAGTCACATATCACAAATACTGCAAAGAGAAGGGTCCTCTTGAATATCCTGTCTGTGTCCACATTTGTAGGTTTAGAATTAATTTGAGGTGTTTCAAAGAGTCTATGTAACACTGGTTTTACCTCTGCATATATTATTTAGTATAAAGAGATAATTATTTTGTCTCTTTTAAAATATAATAAATAATTTTACAGCTTGAATGTTCTCTGTACCATTTTAAATATCTTTTTTATTTATGTGTTTTAGACGGATGCTCTAGTTCACTTGCTACTTCTCACAAATCTTTGGAATTGAGCAAAGCAAATTAATGACATGTTTCCAGGTTTATATTCAAGCACTGCCTATCTGGTAGGAATAACAGGTGTTTTGGCTCCATTACTTGAAGAGACTGTATTTCGAGAATTTGCTTCCTTATCTCTTTTTAATGTACACATCTTTTGTTCAAAATTTTTAGTAGCAAAATGCTGGTCTAGACTCAAGTAGTTCCGTAAAATTGCTTCCCATGCAATATATTTAGTGACAGACCCTACTAAGTAATTAAACAAAGGTTTAAAAGCACTCATTTGATAAGGTTCAATGAGGTTGATTGAAGTTTTCCATAATCCTTGTGAACTTCAGTTGTATGTGTGCAAACCATAGAAGGCTTGGTCAATCTTCATCAAATTTTTAGATACTATCCCTCCCCCTCGGTTGAGTGAAACTGATTGAATCCTTGTAAATTACTTGAAGGTTGGATGCTACAGAGGGGTCTAATTGGAAAAGAAATTATCTAGTGAATGAAATTGATCCTTGAGACTACTTGACAAGCTGGCTGGACTTTTTGTTTGTTCCATTTAAAATTTGATGTTCAGTTGAGATGAATCTCTGAATCTTTTTGAAGACCTTCAAATTTTGGATCTTCAGTTTGTATACAAGTTTGCCATGGTTTCTTATAAAATGTGGCAGGAATAACAAAAGCTGCCAAAATTGCCTCTTTCTCTGCAGTGTGAGAATTAATTCATTGTATAAGAGTACCCATGTTCATTTTATGCTTCTTCTCATATTCACTGATGTTTTCTCTTTGAACAATGGATTCACTGAATAGTCAGTCTTATTTGGAACTCAACATATCCAATTCTCCATAATAAGTTGGATTTTTTTATCAGCAATGTAATAAGTTGCATTTTTAGATTCAGTTTACCATTTAATTTTAGGAACTTTTCCTCTTTTTGCATCTTGGATGTTATGTTTTCTTTGGTGGTGACCGCTAAGTTCTGATTATGCAAGACTTCGATGTTATGTACTAATGTTTTCTTTGTGGTCATTTTGCAGGTTTCAACCCCAGTTTCTATCCTTATTAGTACTGCAGTGTTTTCTCTAGTTCATCTTACTCCCAGAGAGTTTTATTAGTACTGCAGTGTTTGCTCTATCTCATCTTACTCCTGGAGAGTTTCCTTGGCTATTTGTACTAGCCAAAGCTTTTATTGATGGGTTCTGCAGATGTGCCATCACAACTCTAGTAGTCTAGTGGCATCTGTGTGGTAATGGAGGCTTTTTTTTTATATATAAGTAGAGACTTTGATTGTTGAAGATCTTTTGATCTTCAAGGAAATCAACCTCTTTTGAGTTGGTTATTCCTCCACTTTGTTTTTATCATCGGCATCTTATCTCCTTGGCCATGTCCCTTATGGTTATATTGCTGTCAAACATCAGTGCACTTGTAGGTATCTAGTAGCATTCCCAGTAACTACTAAGAGGAGGGGAAAAGGAAAACATAAGTAGCTTAGTCATGTGAATTAAAGATCAAGTGCACTTGTAGGTATCTAGTAGCAGTCCCAGTAACTGCCAAGAGGGGAAAGGGAAAACATAAGTAGCTTAGTCATGTGAATTAAAGATCAATTACTGCACTGGTAGGGGATTTATTTTCTGGAATTTAAGTCTTTCAATGGGAAGAATATGGCTGAAAAAGGCCATGGATTGAAGTGATGAGGGATGCATATTAGTGCTTAAACAGAAGATATGGCCTCGAAGTAGAATTCTGGAATAGGATCCATGTAGTAGACCCCAAATAGTTTCTCTGTGGATTTATTGGGTTGGATTGAGTTCAAGATATGAGATTGGAGATATATTGTGCATGGTGGGGAGAAAAGATTGTTCCTATTTTTCTGGTTTCAGAAATATGAGGTTTGGTATGAAGCTCAGTTCTGGTTGTAATCTATAAGCCCAAAGTAGGGATCTATTATGACTAGTAGCAGAAAAGAGGGTTCCTTATATCAGGAGCATGATGTTTGTAAAAAGACTCAGTTTTCTTTGTAATCTATGGAAAAACCTTCAGTAGAAAGATATTATGAGCAGTGGGTAAAAGAGCTCTTCTATTACCAGTTTGGGCATATGTTCTAACATGTCTGTTGGGAGGCTGGTGTTGTGATATTATAAAACTGCTTATAAGTGTTCTCCAGTCAGAACATATCAGAGACCCCAAATAATCACGAGTGAAAGATCTATTGGACAGTTAAGCTTTTATAACTTATCACCAACTAGTCAACTAACTCATCAGTTCATGATGCTACCAACTGCATCACTAATTATCAGTCAACATTCACAATGCAATTGCCTAATGACAACTAACCATTGACTAGTCTAGGCTAACATTGATTAGGTCAACTAGCAACAAGTTAACCTAATCAACCACAAATTTATTTTATGTTTTATTTTTTGTGTTTATATAATTATTTAAATAATATCATATATACTATTTATGCCCAAGGTTATAAATACCGATACGCCGAATGGGGCGTCTGTATCATTGAGTTCTTTAATTTTTTTTTTTAGTTTTTTTTCAAACCTGTTCAAGGGGGTCAGTATAAGGCCTGTCTACCCCGTGAAACAGGTCAAGTCCCAAAACCAATCTTAAAGTGGTGTATCAGTGACCCACCGATACGATACTTATCGGGTGATATGACCCAATACATTGCAACACTTCAATGTTTTTTATGCCTTTATTTTGTTTATATATATATATATATATATATATATATATATATATATATATGAATGTATAACTATGTATATAAATGCTCAACCCCAGCCAACCCAAGTTGCACTTATAGCTAGGTACGGTTAGTGGAATATCCCTAATATTGTATCCTTTGTAAGGAACCCACTTTTCCAACCACTAGACACTAGAGTTTCTGTTACTAGTTCCACATGTTTGGAACTATGGGTAAAGAGCAATTCTATCCTTGGTAAGGAACCATGTGATCCATAATTCCACATGCACTGTGATCATTTCAAACCACTTGGACCCATTGCTCTTTACCCACTAATTTGGAGTCTCTTCAACTGGGCTCCCCTTGTCACTTAACACATTCTCTTCATATACCACCTAATCAACTCCAAGTCTCCATCAGTTTCCCCATAGTATATACACATCTATGATCTTTTCATTCCCATCCATGATCCATCTTGACATTATTCTCGCTTAATCTCCATAGGCATAACTACTACCGCTAAAAGAGCCTCCAATAAAAGCAACGATTCTGCATGCTCAATTTCCTTATTATTTTGATAATAAAGAAAATTGTCTACGTCATTCCCCAAGAAATTTGTGTTCACTGTTCATACCCATATCAGTACAAATAGGACCAAATCACCCCAAGGTTTCGGCATTTAATTTCGCAGCCTCAGAAAGGAAATTAAAAAAGTAATTTAAGGAGCATCAAAACAAGGAAGAAAGATATAATCAGAGCATAACAGGATACGATGCGCTAAGACGACGAAGTTAATCAAGAACGAGACAGAAAGAGAACCATCAACGCCTTGAATAGAAACAAAATCATAATTTATAGTAAATACAAGAATAACGGTAAGAAACCAGAGTAAAAAAAAATACCTTCAAAAGATCTTTCCAAGATCCTCCTTTGCACGACACCCCATCCTGGCAAGAATGCACCGTCTGAAACTGGTCAACGTCAAGCTTCTTGTTGATAAACCCCACTTGAAAGTATATATAATCGGCCGGCGGCAAATCTACCCGGATCTCTTCGACGTCAAACCACAAGAAGAAACGTTTGACTTCAATCCCCTTGAGATTCGCGATTGACCCGTAGTTGAGCGTACCGGTGATTTTCTGATCGTAGTAAACCAAGTAGTCGAACTGGATGTAACAGGGCTTCTCCAATTCGACAACGAACCTTCCATCGTCGGCGAGAGAAAAGCCTTTAACCGAATCAGGCAGGAGGCCACTCGGTAGCCCGAACTCGGGTAGGAGTTCGTAGACCGAAGAACCATTAGAGATCGGAAAGGATGAGAGTGCAAAGGCTGAAACGAAAAACAGTGGGAAAAGAAAAAAACCCAGAAGGTGTTTCAAACACGGAACCATTGTTCGATTGATTTCACCGATGACCGGAAACAGAACGAGGGTTTTGGAGAAGAAATGTTTGGGGAGACGGCTGGTACTCTAGTGACTGGTCTGCTTTCTCGAAGAGGCGACTGGCGAGGGATAGGAATTGTTTGGGGAGACGAGACTATTTATATTTGATAGTAATGATAGGCTGTACCATTGCCTTTGATCAGGTACATCAAACTTGGCATATATTGTTCAAACTGTTGTAGGTGATACATCTGTGGCCTTATTAGAATGACGGGTCCCAGAGGAATAGAGTGGGCCCACCAATCCTAAATCCTTTTGGTCAGGTGGGCCATGTGGGTGTGACTAGACGTGGATCTCCACGAGCATCTATGGACTACGTATTTATTTCACCATATAGTTTTGAGGTGGGGCCAAGGAGCAAATATTTGATTACTCACTTAAGCAAGACAAAAAAAAAAAAGCTATGGAATTATTTGATTCGATCCGGATGAGACCATCATCATCTGGGCCTTATCCCATCTAATATTTTATTTATATATATATATTTTTTTAATTTTATATTAATTTAATATAATATTATTGAAGAGTATTGGAATAACCATCTTAATACTTGCCTTGGTTTCATGCAAGTTATAAAATCCATCAAAACCTCGTAAATTTTGATCAAAACCCATTTCATTACCTATCACTTTTATGATGCATGTTTCTTCTTCTTTTTCTTCTTCTTCTTCTTCTTCTTCTTCTTCTTCTTCTTCTTCTTATTATTATTATTATTATTATTATTATTATTATTATTATTATTATTATTATTATTATTATTATTANTATTATTATTATTATTATTATTATTATTATTATTATTATTATTATTATTATTATTATTATTATTATTATTATTATTATTATTATTATTATTATCTCTCCGAATTAAAATGGGTAATTTCAGCAAATAATTTTAAGTAATTAAATTTTGCTATTAACATTTTTTAACAATAATCAATATTATTAATAGATTAATAATATATTAATAATTATGAATTCAGTAATAATAATATGTATATTATTAACTAATAATATATTCTTATTGTGCGTGTATTGATTTTGAAATCAATATTATTAAAGTATTATTATTATTTTTATTTTTATTAAGTAATTAATTTGTTATAAATATGATTTATAGTTAATTCATAAAATAAGTAACACTAATTATATATTTATAAAATAATTAATATGAATTAATATCAATATAAAATGATCATATCCCAATTAATAACTAACATGATCAAAATACTTATTAATTATCAATTAATTAACATTCTAAAGTAATAATTATCATCATTATTATTAGTAATAATTAATTATAATAATAATAATATAATTATATTAACTAATATAATATAATTAATTATAATAATATAATTAATTATTTCATATAAATGTATGAATTATAATTTTTGATAATAATTATAATATAAATAATTAACATTAAATATTTATTTTCAAAATAATTAATATGAGTTAATATAAATATGAAATGATTATTTCTGAATTATTAATTATCATTATGAAAACATTTATTAATTATCATTAATTAATCATCATTTCGAATTAATAATGAACAATATTGTGAGTAATAAATTATAAGTAATTAAGTATTATCTGTAATTATTATAAGAATTAATTTTCAGTAATTAATTATTATCAGTGAATAATTATTATTAGTAATTAATAGCTGGAATTAATTAATTAGAAGTATTTAATAGTAATTATTATTAGTAATCAATAGTTGAAATTATTTAATTAGTTTACTGGGTTAAATAATAAATGTAACCCATCCCTCTCTCTCAACGCCCCCAACTTTATTGGCAACTGGATTTGACCACATGTCTCTACTCCAATGAGCCAAAGAACCTACCAACTAAGCCACCATCAATTAGTATATATCATATGTATGGTTAGCACTTGTATGTGTATTTACAGTAGTGTAAATAAATGGAATAAAATCTATATTTTACATGTATGATTATAATGTTAAATTAAAATATCATATATCATTAATACTTATTTGTATGTATATATACACTAATGTATATATAAACGGAACTCAAATTTATATTTTACATATTTCTTTGACGGAAAAAATCTATGATGTAGAAAAGTTATGGTATAGAAAGAGTTTTGACCAATCAAAACCCAGTCATGAATTTTGATAAATAACACTATTGTCATCACATTTATGATTCCAGTTTATCGGTCAATTGTTTTTCGGATATCATATCTTTTTCTTATGACAGTGGAAAGAAAGAATTCAGATATCTCATATTTTTGGGATAGGATTTAGATGTACCCATATCCAAATTCAATCCTTTTGTTGAAATTACCCTCGTTTTTTTATATTATTAATTCTAAATGAAATCTGATCCAATTTGTAGGTTGGTTAGGTCTGATGTTGTGTATTGCGAGACCAATAAAAATCAACAACTCATTATGTGGTGGTCAAGCCTTACATAGCTACCCACAGAGACACCAGAGGTGCACATTGGGAACATACACAGTTATCGATTACGAAGAGATATTCTTAACATACAGTAGTGGTGTCTTGTGGGTAGAGATGCAGGAAAAGTTTGTGGGGGAGCCAATGGGACGGATGTTTAGTCCTCCCGTTTGCTCTCAAACATGTGAAGTGTGATATCTTGGCTCTCATTTTAATCTTTCCGCTGAACAGTAATTATTGCCAAAACCCTAGCGCCTGGCTTCTCCTCTCATTTTTGCTCCACGGCGGCAATCATTTCACCGGCGACGAAAATGGAAGGTAATAGAGAAGAAATCAAAGATGGGTTTGTTTGTTTTTTTTTTTTATATGATTTCTTGTTCTTCGGTTGGACATAATTGATACGATCAAGTTCTCAGAAAAAGGGGGAGAAAGATCTAGAATAAGGAGAAGAGAGATAGAGAGTTCGGTTGTAGGGAAAAGTAATGCCTTCTTCCATTCATTCAGGCTATATTTATAACCTTATTGTGCTACAAACTAGGAGTAGAAATAGGAACTGCCGCCAGAGCTTATCAACAAAAACAGAATGCACTTATCTACTAAAACAGAAAACAGAATGAAGATTTATCTATTTTAACAAAAATGAAGACTTATCTATCTTAACAGAATTAAAACCGAATGGCTAAGGCTTATCCATAAACTAAGGGCTAATATGACCGGGTCTCCTGATGCTGTCAACTTTGACCGGGTCCTTGGCTGTTGTGTGCCTAGTGCATGCATGCACATGCACGTATCATTTCCTCCCCCCCTGAAAGATCCTTGTCCACAAGGAAGTCGGGATATGATTTGGTGAGGCGCCATTCATTTTCCCAGGTTGCGTCCTCGGTAGGTGCCCCAACCCATTTGACCAAGATTTCGGATTTTGGACGGTATTTGCCCTTGTGAATAATACGACGATCCAAGATTGCTTCTGGTTGGGGTAGGATGGTCGAAGTATCCGAGATAGGGGGAAGCTGGGTGGAAGTTGGGGTGATTGGTCCCAAGTGCTTTCGCAGTAAACTGACATGAAACACATTGTGGATCTGAGAGCCGGGAGGCAAGGCTAATCGATAGGCCACTAGACCGATCTTCTCAATGATTGGGTATGGCCCAAAGTAATGTGGGGCGAGCTTCATGGACTGCCGAAACGCCACTGAGGTCTGCTGGTAAGGCTGCAACTTCACATACACGAAATCACCTGCGACGAATGAGGCTTCACGTCGATGTTGGTCCGCTTGACATTTCATCCGGTTCTGAGCTACCTGGAGGTTATGTTGTAACTCGCGTAGGATGGTGTCTCGGTCACGCAAGTATTCGTCAACTGCCCCTACTCGAGCAGTACCTGGTACATAGGTCAGCAGACTTGGGGGTGGGATGCCGTAGACTGCTTCAAAGGGTGTCATTTTGGTGGAAGAGTGAGTGGAGGTGTTGTAGCTGTATTCCGCCCAAGGAATCCACTCTAACCATTTCCGCGGCTGGTCGCCTGCAAAGCACCATAGATATTGCTCCACGTTCAGTTAACAGCTTTGGTTTGCCCGTCGGTTTGGGGGTGGTAACTTGAGCTCATACACAATTTCGTCCCATGCATCTGAAAAAGTGTCTGCCAAAATGAGCTGATGAATACCTTGTCATGGTCGCTAACAATGGATGTTGGAACTCCATGTAGGCGGACAACGTTGGCAACAAATGCCTTAGCAACTGTCATGGCAGTGAATGGGTGTTTTAAGGGAATGAAGTGGGCATATTTTGTCAACCGAACCGTACACCCGTTGGAAGGAGGCAATCCTTCGATAAAGTCCATGGAGATGTCTGTCCACATTTGAGTAGGTATCGGTAGCGGTTGAAGCAATCCTATTGGTCTCATGCAATCTGTTTTGAAGCGTTGACATACGTCGCATTGCTGCAAAAATTCCTTCACCGTCCGACGCATGTGAGGCCAAAGGAAGCTATGCTTGATGCGAGAGAGGGTCTTATGAAACCCAAAGTGCCCCCCTACCAGGTGAGTGGCAGTCCGCCATCACCTTTGAAATCAAGGTGGAGGCGGGGCTCAAATAAATCTTATCCCCCTTGAACCATACTCCATCTCGTTGAAGCAACTTGTGGGAGGGTCGCTTCTTCATCAATTCTTCATAAAATGTGTCTTGTTTGACCTCTTCCTATAGCGTCGGCCACCAGTCTGCATGTGGTATAGAAATGGACAAAAATTGAAATTCGGCCATACGCGACAAGGAATCTGCACCCTGATTCTCAACTCCTTTCTTATACTCGATCTCGTAGTCGTACCCTAGTATCTTTGGCAACCACCGCGTTTGTGCCGGTGTGGTTATCCTCTGCTCGAGTAGATATTTAAGGCTTTTTTGGTCGGTGCGGACTGTGAAAGGTTTTCCAAGTAGATATGGGCGCCATTTCTTAATGGCTTTGACAATAGCTAACATCTCCATCTCATAGGTGGATAACGCCAAGGCTGAACCCTTCAATGCTTCACTGAAGTAGGCCACCGGTCGGTTATGCTGGGTGAGGATTGCGCCAATTCCAGTTCCACTCGCATCGCATTCAATCACAAATCGTTGGGAAAAATCCGGAAGACATAGGATCGATGGTGAAGTGAGTGCCTTCTTCA